ATATGTTTTTTTTTTTTTTTAAAAAAAAGGGACTTGGAGCCAGGCATAGTGGCACATGCCCATAATCCCAGTACTAGGGAGACTGAGACAGGAGTCTTCTTGCAAGTTCAAGACCTACCTGGACTACAAAGTGAGCTCAAGGCCAGCCTGAACTGCATAGTGAGACCGTGTCTTAAAAAGAAAAAAAAAAAAGCAAGGGACTTGAAAAATTCTGTCAGGATGCCCCATCCCCCTTAATCATGGCTGACCCCCAGGGCTCTCAAGAAGACCTAGTCCCTTGCTGAGATGTTGGCCCTTTTGTCCTGTTAGGTGTGGAGGTGATTTGCTCTGTTGGGGTCCCATTCTTTTTCTGCTTGAACCTTCTTCAGCTTTTCTCTGGATTCCCATTTGGGTGGTCACCATGGTCTGCCGGTCTGGATCGGTAAGTTACACGAAGGACAGACACCAGTCCCATTGGGTTTGTTACTGTAAACTACACAGGGAACACAGGTGTTCATATGTAGAAGGCGCATCAGGAGGAGAAGGCAGGGCGGGGAGTGATGGGTGGAGATGGCTGAAGTATGTTATGTACAGGTACGAATCTGCCAAGTTAAGCCATTCATCTATAGAACCAATACGCACCAGTAAAAAGCATCTGAAACAGGAAGCGCATGATGAGTAAGGTAAAGGTTTAATTTGTTTTCCCATTTCTCCTTTCCAAGTCATGATCTTGCTAAATTCCCCAGGCTGGGCTCAAACTTCCAGTCGTCCTTCCTGCCTCAGCCTTCCAGGTACAGAGATTGCAGGGATCCTCTGCCACACCCAGCAAGTACTAAGTATCTATCTATCTATCTATCTATTTATTACGCCACTGAGCTATGTCCCCAGCCAATACTAATTATATTGAGTGGGGGTTTTGTTTGTTTTGGGTACTGGGAATCAACTCAGGACCTTGAGCTTTGCCTGAGCTACATCCCCAGCCTGCAAGTACTAATTTTAAAAGTTAAATTCCCCCTCCACCACTGATTCAACCACAAAATGCAAAATGTGAAATGCCAAAATAATTATGATAATTAAAAGGCTTCCCAAAGAATAAAAGCTAGCAAGTAATATACTTGAATTCTTTTTATGTTGTATTTTTAGGGAAAGTTCTACAGGGTATTCAGGGTCTCACTACTAGATTGGACTCGTAGTGATTCTCCTGTTTACAGCCTCCCAGGTTCAGCATGTTGTTTAGTCTGGCCTCAAACTCCCAGTGATCCTCCTGCCTCAGCCTCCTGAGGGCTAGGATTACAGGCCTGAGTGAACATCCTTGGCTCAGCATTCATCTTATTTTTCCAGGCAGGGTCTTGCTATGCAGTTCAGCTGGCCTTGTGCTCACCTAGAGACAGGATTGCTTTAAGACCCCCAGGCTGGTTTTAAAGCAATCCTGTCTCAACCTCCAAGTGCTGGGATTACAGGCATGCACCACCACGCCCAGTTCAGCCTTAATTCTTAAAAGTAAAAGGAGGTAGGCTTGATGAACATCAGGAAATACCACTTCAAAAAACAAGAGCAAAGCATGGTGGCACATGCCTGTAATTCTATCCCTTGGGAAGAGGGCTATGAGTTGGAGGCCAGTCCCCGCTACACAAGGAAGTAAGACAGACAAGAACTATGGAATGAGACCCTGGGCTAAGTAAAGGAAGACAAAGGAAAGGGAAGGAAGGAAAGAAGGAAGGATGGAAGGAAGGAATTGGAGGGAGGAAGAAACAGAACACAATTGGAAAAAAAATGGCCTAGACTGCTTTTTTTCCAAAGGTCAGCATTATGCTTAGTATAAAAAAAAAAGAAAAAAAAAAGAAAGATCCATATGGAATAACTAATTGTTACAGGAATGTTAACTATGACAAATAAAATAAAAAACTGATTTGCTATGTTGGGTAAAAATGCAGTAATTTTACAACTTTAAGCATCGTCTGTTCTTTTTTTTTTTTTTCTTTTTGGTAACAGGGATTGAACCTGTCAGGACCTTGTGCCTGATGATATTAGCTAGCTGTCAAAGAAAAACATAAAAAATCTGGGCATGATGGTGCACAACTGTGATACCAGCACTTGGGAGGCAGAGCCAGGAGTGTGCTATGAGTTCCAAGCCAGCCTGGGGTACATAATTCAAAGGCCAGCCTGAACTACACAACAAGACCCTGTCTCAAAAACAAACAAAAATATGGGACCAGAGAGATGGCTCAGTGGGCCTGAGTTCAATCTCTGGTTCCGCAAAAAAAAAAAACCATACCCAGGCAGGGTGCTCTCTATCTGTGATCCTAGCACTCGGGAGGCTGAGGCAGGATGGATCACCGAGAGCTCAAGGCCAGCTTGGGCTACATACAGAGGGTTTTTTTGTTATTGTTGTTTTTTAATTTTATGTATTTAGTACAGGGTCTCACCACACAGATCAGACTCATAGTGATCCTCCTGTTTTCAGCCTTCCGAACACTGGGATTACAGGTGCATGCCACCATACCTAGTATCAAGGTCCATCTCTTCGTGCCCTGGGGGGCCAGCGTGGCATGCCTGGGATCAAACCCTGGACTCTGTGTCTGCCTAACCAGGTGCTTTAATCTGCTTAGCTATCTGGCTGGACCTTCATACTGAGTTCTAAATTCATGAACAATCTGGAACATGTAATGTGACCTTGTCTCAAAAAAAAAAAAAAAGTAAGTGCATGGGGCTGAAGAGATAGCTCTACAGTCTAAGTGCCTGCCTGGCACATGCAAGGACTTGGGTTCAACCTGAAACTGGGTGTGGTAGAACCAAAAGTGGGTTCTGGGCGTGCTTTGCTAGCCACAGAAACTGGGTGTGGTGGCACACACACCTGTAATACAGACCTGGGGAGGCTGAGACAAGAGGATCACTAGGAGTCCAAGCTGTGCAGTGAGACCCTCTACCAAACAAATAACTTTTTTTTTTTTTTCCAGAACCAGGGATTGAACTCAGGCTCTTGGGCTTGCCAGGGAAGCGCTTATTCCACTGAGCCATCTCCCCGGCCCCCAAACTAACTTTTTTTTTTAAAAAAAAAAAATTGCAAATAAAAATTTTAAACACTTATCTTGGAGCTGAGATTATAGCAGGGAAAGAGCGCTTGGCTAGTATGTTGAGGTCCCAGGTCTGGTGTGTAGTGGAGAGTAACGGGAATAGAGAGACTTTTGGGTCTTCTAAGTCTGGGGCTTCTTTAATCCTTTTTAAGGCAACAGAGGAGAGATTCTGCAGTTCTAGTTTTGCATTCTGAGTCACCATGCAACTAGCCCTGTAATCTGGCTGCTTATCTTTCTGGATTTCATCTGTAGAATGCAGGAAGTAATAGTGCTTACTGACCAGGGGCATCCCATCTAAAGTGCCTGGCACGTAGTAAACACTCAGTAAGCTTTAGCTACTTTTATTTTTTTATTTTTATTTTTTTAAGATTTTTTTGTTTTTTAATATTTATTTATTTAGTGTGTGTGTGGCCAGCTCAGCCCACCAGGGGGCGGGGCTGGCTGGCATGTGGTGCTGGGGGATTGAACCGCAGTCCCTGTGCTTTGCTTAGCTTAGCTTGTTCTAAGTAGGTGCTTTAGACCACTGAGCCATCTCACCAGCCCTATTTTTTTTATTTTTGAGATAAGGTCTTGCTATACAGCTCAGGCTGGACCTGAACTCACTTTGTAGCCCAGGCTGATCTTGAACTCCTAACTATCCTCCTGCCTCAGCCTCCTGAGTGCTGGGATTATAGGCATGCGCCACCAAATTCGCCCACTCTAGCTTTAGCTACTTATTTTTCAGCATAAATAAGGCTTTAAAATGATAACCTGATGGGCAGGAGTGTGACTAAAAACGTGCAGAAAAGATTAAATTTGAGTGCCAAGGCCCAGAGGAAAAGAACAAGGGGTTAAGGGGAAGAGTCAAAAAGCATCTACTGAGGTAGTGAAATAACCAGTGGGAAATAGCCACGGAGACACAGAAAGAAGTGATGGACCGAAGCCTCTGTGGATTTGCGGATATGGAGGAATTGTGTGATATCGAGAAGTGTGCTGCAAGTTTGGAACAGGCCGCGTCACCAACCTCCCTCCTCCCAAGGTCAGGCCGAGGAGAAGGTCAGCCTTCTCTACTTGTTTGTCCCTGTCCCGCGGAAACCCAAGGAAAGGGCTGAAGTGAGAAGTGGAGATAGAAATAGCAAGGGATTAAGACACTGTATCTAACTTCTTGGGGAAGCCCAAGTGCGAGCCGGACAGGTGCCGGACAGGCCTTGACATTGGGCAGGGAGCGTGGAGGCGGCGCTCATGCCAAAACTTCCTTAGCCATGAATTATGAAGCAAAAGCAAAACACACAAGGGGAGCAGCTGGGTCTGATGGGAGTTCTTATCCTAGGTTTTTGAGGAATCTCTACCCTGATTTCCACAATGGTTGCACAATCTACATTTCTACCAACAGCAAAGAAAGCCTTCCCCCACCCCCAGCCCTTCCAGCATTTTTTGTTTTGTTTTGTTTTTTGTTTTCGGACACAAGGTTTCATTGTGTACTTCAGGCTGTCCTCTAACTCATGGCAATCCCCCTGCCTCTGCCTCCTCAGTGCTGGGATTGCAGGGGCGCAACATCACACCCGGCTGTTATTGGTTGTTAAATAAACTTTTAATATTAAAAAATAATTCGTACTAGCAGACTTGGTTACTTTGAGAAGCAACTAGACTGTTAAACGCTCATCTTTTTTTATACTTTTTTTTTTTTTCCTTAAGGGGCTCACTCCGTACTGCAGTTTGGCCTTGAACTCACGATGCACCCTGGCTGGCCTCGGACTCGCGGCGATCACCCTGCCTCAGCCTCCCGTGTTGAGATTACAGGAGTGTGCCAGGGCGCAGCATATTTATTTTTTGAAACAGGGCTCACGGCGTAGCGCGGGCGGGCGCTCCTTAGCCTCCCGGCGCTAAGCTTCCTGCCCGCAGGAGCTGCCGGGGGCGGGCCGAGGCTCGCACGTGACGCGCCGTTGTCACCTGACCGCGTCACCTGACCGCTGCAGCCGCGAGCTCCATGGCGGGCAGCGCGCTCGGGCTGCGGCTGGTGCTGCTGGCGGCGCTGTGCGGGGCGGCGGGGGCGCTGTGGCCCTGGCCGCGCTCCGTGCAGGCGTCGTCGCGCCGCTACCGCCTGCGCCCCGCCGCCTTCGCCTTCCGCCACCACCCGGGCTCCGCCGCGCAGCCGGGCTGCGACGTCCTGGACTCCGCCTTCGCGCGCTACCGCCGCCTGCTCTTCGGGGCCGGACCCTGGCCGCCGCCCAGCCCCTCGGGTGAGCCGCGCCCGCCCGCCGCGTCCTGCGGTCCCAGGCCGGGGGCAGCCGGGCTCCATCCCCACGTTCGCCTTTCAGCCCAAACTGCCCCCGGCAGGGCTGAGACCACCCGGGATGTCGCATTCTAGGAAACCGGGGCCATAGGGTTCTAAGGTCCCGAGGTCGTGGCTGGGGGCTGTGACCAGGGCAGGTGCAGAGACCAGGGAAGATCAGCTGGCTTGGCGGGGTCCACACGCGAGACAGTGGGTGGCACAGGGTTGGGCCTGGCCGGGAAGCGGGTGTCCAACAGGAGGCCTGGAGCTGGGGGCGGGGAGTGGGGGCCGCCGGGGTGGTGACTGGTCGGTCACACGCAGCCCTTTGAGTGACCTCAGAAGCAAAAGCTGTTGCTTCGCAGAGTCATGCGGCTCCGTTCCTGTAAGATTATTAGTCCTGCATCCTTGCACAACCAGTATCAGTATTTGGTGTGTTAGGCCCAGTTACCCAACTAGTGACTGAAACATTAATCCGTGACACAGTTCGCTATAATCAGCATCGCCTGGAGTACCTCAGACCTTCCATGCTGGCGACACAGTAGGAATTTGGTCATGATTCTTGGGCATCTTGATACAAAAGGTTTCTTTGTGTAAAAGTGTGGGAAAACGCTTCTGGGTTTTTATGTAGTTCTAAGATCATGAAAGAGAAGCTAAGAGTTGGATGTGGTGGTGCCCAGCTATGGCACTGCTTGGCAAGGCTGAGGCAGTGCGATCTATAGGGCCAGCCTAGACCCCATGGGAACGGCCTGCTTCAAGAAACAAAAGGTTGGGGCCAGGGAGATGGCTCAGTAGAATAAGCACTTGCCTGGCAAGCACAAAGGCCTGAGTTCAATCCCCAGTTCAAAGGTTTTCAGGATTCCACTAAAGGATCACCTCACCTTGCAAGTTTCAAATTTGAAGCAGAAGCATGTGATTTCCAGGGAAGGAGACTGATCCCAGGAGGACCACTCATGTCTGCATGGAGATGGCAGACAGGAATCAGGGCCACCGGGGGAAGAGGGAGCGCAGCGCTGTTTCCTTCTTCTACTCTGGTGGGGCAGCACTTAAATCATTTTAACCCCTTTGCCTAGGTAAGGACCAGGCTTATTTATTTATTTTTAAAAGCAGAGTCTGGCCTTAGTTTAGCCTGGCCTTGAACTCACTATCCCAGGCTGGCCTCCAACTCAGGCAGTCCTCCTGCCTGAGGCTTCAGACACATGCCACCAAGCCCCAAGCCCAGCATGTGGCCTCAGACAGACTGCCTGATTTCTAGGCTATTGTTACTACTTGCTGTTTACATTTCTGGCCTTTCTTTGTTGTTGTTATTGTTGTTATGATTATTCTCCTCCTCCTCCTCCTTCATTTGGTACAGGGTCTCACTAAGCAGCTTGGACTCCTGGTGATCCTCCTGTTTTCAGCTTCCCCAGCACTGGGATTACAGGTGTGCGCCACCACACCCAGTCTTAGGGGCCAGGGCCAGCGCAACGTGTGCTGCCTGGGATTGAACCCCAGTCAGTCCCTGTCCTTGCCTAAGCAGGCATTTAATCCGCTGAGCTATCTAGCCAGTCCACACGCTGTATTTTTTGGTGACGCCTCCTGGTGGCTTTGTGCCTTTGATGACCACGATGTGCCTTTTCTCTGTTGGGTGCCATCTGTTGGTGGCTATCCTATGCAGGTGGCATCTCGAGACAGTGGAGCCTTCAGTCTCCTGTAAGCAGCTCCTGCAGACCAAGTACCCAGGCCCCAGGCCACTCTGGCTCTTTACATGGTGCAAGTTTCCTGTGGCAAAGCTGACTGGTTAGGAAAAGGGAAGTAATACAGCTAGGGCAGGAGCGCCTGGGCCTGTGTGTCCCCGTGGCCTTTGGTCATATAACAGCTCCTGCAGGACCACAGAGTGATGTGCCACACCCGAAGTCACAGGTCACGTCTGTTCACCCACAGAGCTTCTGACCCTTTACAGGTGCAGGCTTAGGTTGTGCTGCTACTGCTGCTGCTGCTCCTCCCCCTCCCCTCCTCTCCTCTTCCTCCTCCTCCCCCCTCCTCCTATCTTGGCCAGGCCAATTAGAGAGCTGGGAAATTACCAGCTGCCCATGGGATTAAGCTCCAGTCACATCTTCATGTTAATTACTTTGGGTAATAATTGCTAAAATCTAATTGCTTGTTCATTAGCACTCAGATTATGAATATTTCTTATTCCCCACCCATTGTTATCATATTCCTGTAATGTTTCTGCCCTTCCATCCATCCTTAGTGCCAGAAGTATTTGTTTTTTGAGACAAGGTTTCACTATGTAGCTCAGAGACTCTGTCTCTAGGTGACCCTCCTGCCTTGGCTTCCCAGGTGCCAGGATTGCAGGTGTGGGCAACCATGCTTGGCACTTAAAAAAATGTGGTTATTTCTATAGTAAACAAGATTTTCCAGTTAGTATATGCTACATATATATATATATATATATATATATATATATATATATTCTTGATTGACCCTGAAGAAAAGACCAAGTATGGACCAAGGCAAGGACATGTGCAGAGGGAGCAGGACCCTGGAATGTGTCATGACTGAAGGGTCAGGAGGGGTTAGCAGGAGAACCTGGTCTTGCACTGCCATTGTTGACACCAGCGGGACTGGAACTGGCCTCTCCTGATTCCCAGCCCACCACTCTGTGGGTGCTCCTAGCCCTCCAGGCTGTGGCATTTCCTGCTTCCTGGGGGCTGTGCCCACTTGGAATAGGCCACTGGCTTTTCCCACAGCAGCACTGTGTCCCGCCCACTTCCTGATGTCCTAGGTATCTGGCACAGTGGTAGCACAGAGGCGGGAGGTTGCCCAGTATTTATTTTTTTGTGGGTGACCCAATGTCCTTCCTGATCTGCCTGTTCCCCAAAGCCTGCCCTGCCCTCTCCAGATTGTTGAAGCAGCTTTGTGGCCCCCAGCTAGCTGAATCACCAACTGCACTTAGGGGGATGCTGTTCTGGGGTTCATTAAACAGTAGAAGAATCTGTGACTCTGCCCCTGGAGGGAAGGACTGAGGTGTGTTGTAGAAAGACAAAAGGGCAGCGCTTGCTTAGGCAAGCACAGGGCACCACATGCCCTGTTGGCCCTGCCCCCAGGCACACTGAGCAGGCCACAGAGTCTAGGAGTTGGTGGCGCACACCTGTAATCCTAGCACTGGAGAGGCTGAAAACAGGACAATCACTATGAGTCCTAGCTACGAAGTGAGACTTGGTACCAAATACATTTAAAAAGAGAGAAGTACAGTGGGTATGGTGGTACGCACCTGCCATTCCAGCCCTTAGGAGGCTGAGGCAGGAGGGCTGAAAGACTGAAGCCCACCTGGGCCATTTAAAAGCTTAGCAAGACCCTCTCTCAAGATAAAAGTCAAGGTGAATGCCAAGGTTTCAATCCCCACTACTGCAGCCCGAGGCCCGGAGGATTAGCAGGAAGCCATGACTTTGGCCGTTTAGTTGGCTTCCTGCACAGGGAAGCGCACACACTCTACACATGTACTGACGGGGCTCCAGCTGGTGTGGGACTGAGGGGGATAAGCAGGTAGGGAGCAATGAGATGTAGATTTTTATAAGTTGATTGGATGTTTTTTGTTTTTTTTTTAGAAATAAACTTTTTATTAAACCAGGGGGCGGGGCTGGCTGGCATGTGGTGCTGGGGATTGAACCTTGGTCCCTGTGCTTTGCTAAGCTTAGCTTGTTCTAAGTAGGTGCTTTAGACCACTGAGCCATCTCACCAGCCCTGGATGTGTTTTTGAGACAGGGTTTCACTGTGTATTTTAGGCTGCCCTTGAACTCACTAAGCAGCCCAGGCTGGCCCCAAATTCATGGCAATCCTGCCTACGCCTCTCCAGGATGGGATTACAGGGATGAGCCACCATGCCTGGCAAGGTGTAGTTTTCAAAGACATATTTGTGCCAGGCATGATGGCGCACCTCTAATCCCTTGCCTTTGGGAAACTGAGGCAGGAGGATCACTGCAAGTTTGAGACCAGCTTGGGCTACAGAGTTCAAGGTTGGCCTGTTTCAAAAAGAAACAAGAAAGCAAAAGCATAAGCACTAGAATTTAGAACCTTCCCCCCCGCTCGAAATCTGGTTGTGGGGAAAATGGCAGAGGTGGGTTGTGTTTACTGTGACATAATTCCCGTTTTTGTTGGGTTTCTTTTTTTCTTTTTTGGCGGGGGGGTTGGTATCATAAACTTATATTTTTTTAAATTTATTTATTTATTTGTGTGTGTGTGGCCAGCTCAGCCCACCAGAGGGCGGGGCTGGCTGGCATGTGGTGCTGGGTTATTGAACTACAGTCCCTGTATTCTGCTAAGCTTGTTCTAAGTAGGTGCTTTAGACCACTGAGCTATCTCACCAGCCCCATAAACTTCTTATTTAGTAGCCAGTCCCTGGTAGTGTGCTCGCACATGGCCGAGGCTCTGAGTAGCAGTGCCACCAGCACTCCTTGAGGAGAGGTGGCTCCTGGGATCTTAGAGCTTGTGACAGTTGGCAAGCCCAGGGATAGAGAGGCTTGATCACGCCTGCGGCAGGCCGTGCTATGGGGCAAGAGGTACAAATGGAAGAAAAGTGACCAAGACCAGGCAGGGCCAGTGCCGGCACCCGGAGTGAATGCTGCTCCTTCCCGTCCCTTCTGTCACAGTGGGTCCCTGAGGGACTGGCGCTGGAGCCCTCCTGGGCAGCCTCAGTTCTGCCTGTGGCTCCTGGCAGCAGATCAGTCACGCTGAGTTTACACGGTCCCTGCAGGACAGCGCCATGTGTCGAAGGATGTGTTGGTTGTCTCTGTGGTCACCGAGGGATGTAACGAGTTTCCCATGTTGGAGTCCTTGGAGAACTGTAAGTACCACCCTGCAGGTCTTCACAGAGGATTTCTGCTCTGCAGCCTGAGTGCAGAAAACCTTAACCGATGGGATCACTTTGGTCGTTTCAGACACTCTGACCATAGATGATGACCAGTGTCTGCTGGCTGCCAGCACCATCTGGGGAGCCCTGCGAGGTACCAGGGTCCAAGAGGGAGCAAGGAGCTGGGTGGGTTGGCATCGTGGGGGAGGGCGAGCACAGTGAGGGTTCCCTCCCAAGGCAGGTTTCTTGGTGGATACCACTTGCAGCATTGGTTTCCCATGTCCTTGAGCTGGGCCTGGAGGTGGACAGACCCAGGGTACAACAGAGGAGACTTCCCAAGACAGCAACTGGGGCTGGGGCAACACTTTCAAAGCACTCCCTGCCCTGCTGTCACCCAAGAGGTACAATCAGAAAGGGTCAGAAAAGCAAAACTAAAGCCAGGTGTGTTGGCGCATGCCTGTAATCCCAGCATGTAATCCCAGCACTCGAGAGGCTGAGACAGGAGGCTTTTTGTGAGTTTGAGGCCAGCCTGGGCGTCATAGTGAGACCCTGTCTCAAAACACTAAAAATGGGGGTTGGGGGTAAAATACGTGGAGCTAAGTCATTCTTGAAGAAGATGAGGTTACCAGCCTAAAGGTCCCTGGCCTTCCTCTTGGTTTTCTGAGAAAGTATTTGATCTGGTATAAAGAGACTTAGCCAAGCCATAATGGTTATACTCCTGTAATCCCATCTACTCAGGAGGCTGAGGCAGGAAGATTGCAAGTTTGAGGCCACTCTGGGCTGCACAGTGAATTCAGTTGAGTGAAACCCCATCTCAAGATAAAAAAGGGCTAGAGATGTAGCTTAGTGCAAGGTCCCAGGTTTGATCTCCAGAAAAAAAAAAAAAAAAAATCATGCATGTATTTATTTATTTAAATATGTCTACAATTTTTGTAAAATATCTGCAGATGAGGGGAATTGTCACTTTGGTTTTTCATTTATTGTTTGTAGTTGAGACAGGGTCTCACTGTGTAGCTCAGGCTGGTCTTGAGCTCACTTCGTAGCCCAGACTAGCCTTGGCTCACAGTTGTTCTGCCCCAGACACCCAAGGGCTGGGATTCCAGGCCTGTGCCACCCACCCCACTGGATCTTCCTGTTCCCTCTCCCGAGTCTTCACTATGTCTTACTGTTCACAGGTCTGGAGACGTTCAGCCAGCTTGTGTGGACCTCGGCGGAGGGCACAGTGAGTGTGGGCCTTCAAAAGGGGAGCCAGGCCACGGAGTTTCCCCAGAGTTCCAGAAAGTGCAGCGACCCTGGAAGAGTCCTGTTCTGTTTTAGGGGGGGCCCGATGGCCTTAGCTGACCCACCAGGGGCTGGGAGGAGACACAGTGGAGGGCTGCTCTGGAAGTCTTGGGTTTGGACTGTAGGGTCGTTTCGTGGTATCCCTGATATCACATAGCCTTGAAGAACAGAAACCTACCAGCAGGGAGAGACACAGTCCTCGGGCAATGGGAGTGTTGCATTTGGCCGGCCTGGGACACTTTCCCTCTGGCAGGTAGCTGGTGATGATCAGAAGTGTTTAAAATAGAAGTGTTTGGGGGATGGGTAGAGGTGGGGCTGTTTGGGAACAAAGGACCCCAGCAGAATGGTCACAGAGAGACTGGCTTTGCAGGGATCCTGGCAGAGTTCTTGTCCTTCCTGTGCCCCCATAAGCTCATGGGAGCCCTGACCTAATCGGTGTTTGGTCTGCACAGTTCTTCATCAACAAGACGAGCATCAAGGACTTCCCTCGCTTCTCCCACCGGGGCTTGCTTCTGGACACATCACGCCATTACCTGCCGCTGTCCAGCATCCTGGACACACTGGTACCCGGCCTGGGGACCTTGTCTTCGCACTGGTTCTTGGGGCGGGCCAGGGTGGATAAAGAAGAGAGGGTCTAGTTGTCGCTGGGCTCAAGCCCATCCTGAGTTACATAGAGAGACCCTATCTACAAACAAACAGCATTGGCCTGATGGCGCACGCCTGTAATCACAGCACTCAGGAGGCAGAGGAAGGAGGTTCACTGCAAGTTCGAGGCCAGCCTGGACTATACAAGGAGTTCAAGACCAGCCTGAACTGCGTAGGGAGACCCTGTCGCAAGAAGACGCACACACACACAAAGGCAGTGTAGGATTTGTAGCCCTCCTCCTGATGTACCTGGAGTCATCTCAGAAAAAGATAATTCAGGGCTCCTGAGATAGCTCAGCAGACTAAGCACCTGCTTAGACAAGTGTAGGGACCAGGGTTTGATCCCAGGCACCACATGATGTGCTGGCCCTGCCCCCAGGTGAGCCGAGCCAGCCACCAAGACCAGCTGTGATGGCGCATACCTGTAATCCCAGCATTGGAGAAGCTAAAAACAGGTGGATAGCTATGAGTCCAAGCTGTGTAGTGCGACCCTGTACCAAATACATTTTTTTTTAAAAAAAGACAATGCCAGCCATCCTATTCCCTTGTAAGTACCTTCCCTGAAGAGCTAAAGACATCATGGTCCAGTGACCCATGCACACGCCTGTTTCTAGCAGCATAGCTCATAATAGCCAGATCTTGGACACAGCCTCTGTGTCCACTAACAGCGGAGAAGACAGGAAATACAGTATTTTTATACACTGCAGTACTGCTCAGCTGTAAGGAAAGATAAACTTGAGTCATTCATAGGAAAATGGATGCATTGTGAGACCGTAAGGTTAAATCACATAAATCAGACACGCAAACTTAAGTATCGCATGGTGGCTCTTAGGTGAAAAACCTAGAATATTATTAAAGAACAAAGGAAGGGAACAGGGAACAGGAAGATGGAATGCTTCCAGAAGGGAAGGGGACAAAGAGATGGAGGAGGGGTGAGGAAGGCATGTTGCATGCGTGTGCAGCACCATCTCATGCACCCACAGATGCGAATTCATGGCAGGAGGGGCACCCCTTGGAGATGGGTTGGGCTGCCAGGGAGGTCACCAGCTGTGCTCTGTCACAGGATGTCATGGCTTACAACAAACTGAACGTGTTCCACTGGCACCTGGTAGACGACCCCTCCTTCCCGTATGACAGCATCACCTTCCCTGAGCTCGCCAGAAAGGTACAGTGCGATATCACCCGGCCTGAGCCCCGGCTCCACAGCCACACCCATGCGGGCCATGCTGGCAAGAGCAGCAGCTCCCAGCCTCAGCAGACCCTGCTGGAGGGGAGGACAGTGGCTTCAACATAAGCAGTGCCTTTAGTTAGTAGGTCACCTGTGACCTGCAGGAGATGGTGTCCTGTGGTCTCATTTGATTTGTAGGGAGTCCAGTGGGCTTCACCCTGGTTTATTTATCTCAGTAGCATTCTGATGCTCAGATAAAACAGTAAATGTGGTCATCTGTCTGGTATGATAAAAGTGCTTGGGCTGGAAAGATAGCTCAGCAATCTTAAGTTCCTGCCTGGCAAGTGCAAGGACCTGAGTTTGTGCCCAGTACCGCACGCTGTGCTACCCCGGGCCTCCCAAGCTGGCTGAATCCAGGCTTGGTGGCGCATGCCTGTAATCCCAGCTCTGGGGAGGCTGACATAGAATTGCTACGAGTCTGAGCTGCCTAGGGGGATCCTGTACTAAATACATTAAAAGTTTTTTTTTAAATATCCTAACCTGGGAGTGGTGGTGTTCACCTGTGATCCCAGTACTCAGAAGGCTGAGGCAGGAGGATGCCCAGGAGTTCAAAGCCAGTTTTGACTACATAGCACCACCCTGTCTCAAAAAAACCAAAACCGAACAAAAATTCTGGTAAAACTTCTGAAGGTAGTACCTTATTCCCAAGGGCTCTGGAGAGGTGTTCTGGTACCTGAGGAGTATTCTGAGGGATATTATGAGTGTCTTCTACTCTGACAGTCTTAAGGAAATGAGTGTGAATGTTATCTCTTACCTGCCAGGGGTCCTACAACCCTGTCACTCACATCTACACAGCACAGGATGTCAAGGAAGTCATTGAATATGCACGGCTGCGGGGAATCCGTGTGCTGGCAGAATTTGACACCCCTGGCCATACACTGTCCTGGGGACCAGGTAAGAGTTGTTTCTCAGGGGCCCAGGAGATAGCTCAGCAGCATAAGGACCTGCCTTGCAAGCACTCCCCGGTACCACTAACTAACTAACTAACTAAATAAATAAATGTTCAGATAAATCAATTCACTTTAGGCTAGGCGTGGTGGTGCATGCCTGTATTCCCAGGGCTGGGAAGGCTGAAAACAGGAGGATCACTATGAGTGAGAGCTGTGTAGTGAGACCCTGTACCAACTACATAAAGAAAAAAAGGGGCCGGGCAGATGGCTCAGTGGAATAAGCGCTTTCCTGACGAGCGCTAGGGCCTGAGTTCAGTACCTGGATCCTCCAAAAAAAACAAAAAGAGAGATGTTCTTTGGGTCATGAGCTCCTGATGGCTCTCAGATGAGGGCTTTATGACATTGGCTTTAGAAGGTGGTGTGTCTAGCATTGGTCTGGGGAATAATGTCTTCCATATATATATATATATATATATATATATTTTTTTTTTTTTTTTTTTAATTTATGTATTTGGTACAGAGTCTCATTACACAGCTTGGATTTATACTGATCCTCCTGTTTTCAGCCTCCCCAGCACTGGGATTACAGGCATGTGCCACCACACCTGGACTCCATCTCAGTTTAGTGCGCCTAGGGACGGGGCCAGTGCATCATGCAGTCCCGGGATCAAACCCCGGTCCCTGCACTTGCCTAAGCAGGTGTTTAGACTGCTGAGCTATCTCGCCAGCCCTTCTCCTGCCTAAGATTTGAAACAGGAAAGACTTACTATCACCGAGGAGGTCCCACTCCACTTTTTTGGAGACAGGGTCTCATGTAGTCCCCACTGACCTCAAACTCGTGGTGATCCTCCTCAGGATCCTCCTCAGCCCCCTCAGTGCTGAGATCATAGGCCTACACTGCCATGCTATGCTAAGAAGACCACTTTTTGTGTGTGTGGTACTGGGGATTGAACTTGGGACCTTGCACTTGCCAGGCAGGTGTGCATGCCCTTGAGCTATCTCCTTAGCCCAAGAAGGCCACCTTTCACTTCAGTGGTTGGACCATTCAGTCGAGTCTCAGATGTCCACACTGCCCTTCCCCAGAGTGGGCGCTGAGGAATCTGACCCCCAGGGAAAAAATATAAGAGGGAAGCTTAGTGAGAGTCTACACTGCAGGCCCCAGTATGAGTCCCCCAGGCTGAAATCTATGTGGGAAGCTGAGGCAGGAGAACCACTGAGTTTGAGGTCAGCCTGGACTACATAGCAAAACCCTGTCTGAAAAACAAAAAAGAATACTGTAAGAGGTTGCTGCTGGGCCTCAGCCCCAGGAGGGAACAAGGCTCCAGGCCCAGGCCTGGGGAATGTGGAGCTTCCAGGTGGTGGTAGAGCTGGTGTCCAGGAGGTGATGGCACAAGCTTTGTGGGAATTTGGCTAACTGAGTCTCTTGTGTTGCTGTTCCGCCTCAAAGCTTGTGGTGGAGGGCAGCCTTTGGTAACATGGGGGGGGGGGGCTGCTTCTGCCAAAAGTAGGGCATGAAACATGGCTGATGGTTGCCGGCTGTGACCAGCCTCTGTCAGTGTGTAGCTCTTTGTGTTTTTCTGATGATGGCTGTAGTGGATTTCTAGCTGGTGGGCAACTTATTACACCCAGCTGAATCAAACTAGCATAATGCTGGGTGTGGGAGGCCCACCTGAGGGTTGTTGCCAGCAACATAAAGGCAGAACAGGAGAAGCTGCAGGAACAATGTTAGGGGCACTGTTTGGAGAAGCTGTTGGGAGCTGCTAGTAGCTGCTAGTTCTGTTGGGCTGTTCTGCTGGAGGACCTTGTCATGCTGGCTTTCCCAATGAACTGTGGAGGAGCTCTGGTCCTCATCTTGAGCATCACTTCCGGGCTCTGGAGAGGAAGGTGGTGCACTGCTCTGCCTCCTAGAGAAGCTTGTTGCATTGGCTTTCCTGATGGGAACTCAGCTTTCTCCATCACTGGAGGAGCTTGGCACCTCACCGTTGCTGAGGACGGCTGTGGTACTGCGGGGGAGCTCTGGTCCTTACCTGGAGTGTTGCTTCCTGGCTCCAGCTCAGCTCCCTCAGCCTGCCGGCACAGACCCTTCATCCCGCTGGCATAGACTTGTTAGCTTCCACCACTGGCCTTTCCAGCACAGATCCATGAAGCAGGCCTGCATGAGACTTTATTGTGGACTCGAGGCCTCCAGTTGAACTTGTGGGAGGCATTGTTATGAGCTTTAGGCTTTCATTTGGATTCATACAGGATATCAGGATCCAGGCTCTCAGATGGACTCCTGGGGCCAGGAAGATAGCTCAGTAGAATAAGTGCAAGGGCTTGAGTTCAATCCCTGGTTCCGCCAAAAAAAAAAAAAACCCATGGACTCCTTAGTATTTAGTGTGTGGATAGATTTCCTGCACTTGTATACCATTCTGAGTGATTCCTTATAAACTAATATCATAAAATGTGTCCTGTACTATATTGTCCACCATGCAAAAACCACAAACCACAACAGTGGCTAACCACGTGGTCACCCATGCTGCTGAGTGCCTGGCCTGCTTGCCTACAAGCACGTGATGTTGGGTGTTTTGTTTTGTGAGAGGGTTTGGCCATATAATCCAGGCTGGCCTCAAACTTACTAGTGCTTGGATTACAAGTATGCGCCACCACACCTGGCTTGGTTTTTTTGTTTGTTTGTTTGTTTGTTTTGAGATGGGGTCTTGCTATGTACTCCAGGCTGGCCTCAAACTCTTAGTGATCCTCCTGCCTCAGCCTCCCAATTGCTGGGATTATAGGTGTGCACCACCACACCTGTTCCTGTGTGATGTTTACGAACACAATTTTCTTACTTGCCTCACTTTATGCAAATCAGACTTGTGTTACTCATGTGGCTTCTCTTGATGTAGGTGTCCCTGGGCTACTGACTCCGTGCTACAGCGGTACTCAGCCCTCTGGCGACTTCGGACCGGTGAATCCCATTCTGAACAGTACTTACAAGTTCATGAGCTCCTTCTTCTTGGAGATCAGCTCTGTCTTCCCGGATTTTTACCTTCACCTTGGAGGAGATGAGGTGGATTTCACCTGCTGGTATGAATCCTTCAATCCTTCTGCATCCCGGCCTGATAAGCCAATTGCTTGCTCCAAGTGGAGGGTTCTCTGGAAGCCTGCTGACCAGCCCTGCTCTGGAAATAACCGATAGACCGCAAAGGTGTCGGCCCTGAAATCCTGCCTGATTTCAGCAAGGCTGCCGTGTCTTCGTGCTCTTCCGCAGCATGGAGATATTTATAGAAAAACTAGCTTGGAGCACAGAAATGTCTTGGAAAAATCCAGGATAGAAAAAAAGAATCCTTGCTTATGAAGGCTTAAAATAGTCTGTTCAAAGAGTCAAGCCCAGAATTGAAGATGAAGCGATGACAGCCTCTAATGAATATTAAATCAAAAAGTCTCAACCCTCAGATGTGCGGCCCTCAGTGGATGCTGAGGGGCTCCTTGGGGAGAAGCGGGGAGCAGCCTTGGTTCTGGGAAAATAGCTTGGCTTTTCTGAGGGTTTGAGCAGAGGACGACACTCCAGGAGAACAGTGGGCACAGGGCCTACAGCAGGTGGCAGAGGACATGCTTGCTGTTCAGCCACAAGGCAGGAAGGGAACCAGGACTGGGAGCCAGGGCCTAGTGTGCAGGGGCATGAGGTGGGGCATGGGGGGTGGGGGGGACACCATGTCCGTGAGAGTTGGGACTCCAGACCCTCCAGGTCCAGATTTTTGCATTCTTAGTATGCCAGTGGCAAACATTGCTTCATACAGCTTCACTTGGCTTGGCTACGCCTTTCTTTCTTTTTTTTTAAATTTATGTGTTTGGCACAGGGCCTCACTACACAGCTCAGACTCATAGTGATCTTCCTGTTTCAGCTTCTCCAGAGCTGGGATTACAGGTGTGCACTACCGTGTCTGGTCTTGGTGGCTGGCTCAGTGCCCATGGGCTGTACCACATGTGGTGCTGGGGATCGAACCCCGTCCCTGCACTTGCCTAAGCAGGCACTTAGTCCCCTGAGCTATCTTGCCAGCTGTTGGCTACGCCTATTGTGCATAGGACTTCTGAGCTTCTCAGTGGATTTGGAGTACTTGGGGGGTGGGTATTTTATCTTCTGAAACAGGATTTTGCTTTGTAACTCAGTCTAGTCTTGAACTCATAGTGATCTTCCTGCCTCAGGCTCCCAAGTACTGGGATTGCAGGTGTAACCCACCATGTCGGGCTTTTTTTGGTGATAAAGACAGTAGGCCAGGGATTAATCCCAGGCTGCAGGCTTTTGGGATACAGAAGGCACTAATCTTCATTTTCTCTTCATGTTCAGGAGGTCCAACCCAGATATCCAGGCATTCATGAAGAAGAAGGGCTTTGATGACTTCCGGCAGCTGGAGTCCTTCTACATCCAGATGTAAGGAAGGGGAAGTAGTCACCTCAACAGGGGGACCCTGCTTGGCCAGTCCAGGCCCTGAAGGCTGCCTGGGTCCTGTCCTTGGTGCATACTGGGTGGGTCCCAGGCATAGGGAAGGCATCACCCAACCCGAGAGAGGCCAGTACCAGGCCCTGAGCCCAGAGTCTGCCACTGCTGTCCTCACCAGGCTGCTGGACATCGTCTCTGCCTACGAGAAGGGCTACGTGGTGTGGCAGGAGGTGTTTGACAACAAAGTCAAGGTGAGCCAGGGACAAAGAAGACGAGTCCCTGGAAGGCCACCTCCTGTCTCCCCTGCCCTCTGGCTGTATTAGATTTTTTTTTTTTTTTAATTTTAGTTAGTTAGGTTTTGGGGTTTTTTTGAGACAGGGTCTCATTGTACAGTTCCGGATGGCCTTCAGCTTAAGGTGATGTTCCTGCCTCAACTTCCCTCTGCCTGGCTGGCTCTCACATGGTCAGAGCACTTGGGACTGTCCCTCATTTCCCTTTTAGAAAGGCCCCAGAGAGGCAAGCCCCAGGTTTGGGGTCAGAGTCTCACTCTTTATCTTTTGTTTTTGAGACGGGGTCTCACTGTGCAGTTCAGGCTGGCCTTGACCTCACTCTGTAGCCCAGGCTGGTCTCGAACTCGCAGCAGTCTTGCCTCAGCGTCCCTCCCGAGTGCTGAGATCATAGAAGTGGGCTACCACACCCAGCTCTCTCTTTCCCCCCTCATACTACAAAGTGATCACAGTTGCTGCTTGGGCCCCCTGAGGCTGCCATGTCTTTCCTGCTTGACCAGCCATCTGGACCCCTTTCAACAGGGCCCTGGTCTCCTCCCTGTCACTTAGGGAGACCCTCATTCCTTGTCCCACAGTGAGAAGCCTCTGAGACTCTTAAGACATGGTGGCCCTTGGGCCCCAGGGCTCACTGCTTACCAGGCCTGGTGACATCTGTGCTGCCAGGGAGCAGGGAGTCCTCACCCTTTGGCCCTGGTTGCTTATGGAAGAGTGAGGCCCAGGGATCCCCCGACACTGCCATTGCCGCCCTGTGACCTCTTGCATGATAGGTTCGTCCAGACACGATCGTGCAGGTGTGGCGGGACAAGAAGCCAGTCACCTACATGGAGGAGGTGGAATTGGTCACCAAGGCCGGCTTCCGGGTCCTGCTGTCAGCACCCTGGTACCTGAACCACATCACATACGGCGCTGACTGGAAGGACATGTACAAAGTTGAGCCCCTGGACTTTGAAGGTGACACGGGTGCTGTCCTTGCTGCCCAGAGAGCCCTGCCAGGACTCAGGGTGGGCAGCAGCGGTCTGGGGCAGACATGGCGGGTTAGGAAGTGAGGTGACCCAGGTGGCACAGAGCCACAGGAGGATGACGAATGAAGGGAACCTTTGGTCACATGCCCCCTCACTAGCTTGTCCTTTCCCCTAGGGTCCCCCGAGGAGAAGGCGCTGGTGATTGGAGGAGAAGCCTGCATGTGGGGCGAGTGGGTAGACAGCACAAACCTTGTCCCCAGGCTCTGGTAAGGGGCTATGGAGGAGTTAGAGCATTGGGTTTGAGGGCTGAGTTCCCCCTACAGACCCAGTCCTGTCCGCCACCTCCCGACCCATGACCTTCTGTCTGCAAAGAACACTCAGGTCCTGCTTGGTTCCTACATCTGTGCTCTTGTCGCCATGCATGTCACCATGAAGAAACCTAGAGCGGCCTGGGCCACACCAGTGCCTTGCTCAGGATCCCAAACACAAACTGGGGTTTCTGGGAGATTCCCCTTCCCTTGGCAGCCTCTCTGAGCATGGTCAGGGTCCTGAGTTTACATAAAACCATCCAGTAGCTGGGTGTGGTGGTTCATGGCTCTAATCCCAGCACTTGGGAGGCTGAGGCAGGAGGATCACTGATAGGCTGAGGCCAAGCTGAGCTCCTGGTGCCTTCAAAGCTTCTTGTCTCATGTCTTTGGGAAAGAGCAAAGGTAGAGCTTTATACCTCTGCATTTTAGCAAAAGGGAACAGCCTGAGAACTGCCTGGGAGCCCTGCAGCTCTGGGCTCCCCTCAGAGCATGGTTTCGAGTGCACCCCTGGGCCCTGAGCTGCTGCAGAACCTACTGCAAGGCACATGGGCGTCCAGGACCCTCATGGGGAGCGCGGGGCCCAGCCTGCTGCCATTCTTGTTCCCCCCAGGCCCAGGGGAGGGGTGGTTGCCGAGAGGCTGTGGAGCAGCAACCTGACCACCAACCTGGACTTCGCCGAAACCCGCCTGTCGCACTTCCGCTGCCTGTTGTTGAGGTGAGCAGCTCCCACAGGGAGTGTGACAGGGCCGGCTGGGACGCCTTGTTGGGTCCGAGTAATGGCAAGGGCTCAGCCCGTCACAGACCCTATCTCACCGGGTCACCCCATGACCTGTTTGTTTGGCAGGCAAACTTCATCCCAGTGGCATTTTTTTGTGGTGTTAGAGACTGAACCCCGGGGCCTCCCGTAGGCCAAGCGGGTGTTCCACCACTAGCCCCAGTTCATTCTCATTTTAAAGATAAATGGCTGTAGCTGGGTGTGGTGGTTGAGGCAGGATTGGCACCAGTTCAATACCAATCTGGGTTACATAGTGAATTAAAGAACAGCCTGAACTACATAGCAAGACCTGGTTTAAAAAAAAAAGAAGCCGGGCATGGTATGGCACACCCCTGTAATCCCAGCACTCGGGAGACTGAGGTAGAAGGGTTGCCACAAGGCCAGCCTGGACCATGTAGTGAGACCCTGTCAGGCTTCTTCTTCTTTCTTAACTCTGTTACCTGGGGCTTGTATATAGAGGCGGGCAGCACAGAAGTACGAGGGCTCCCCAGTGAGTCTTCTCAAGTCCTGTTTTTGCCCAGGGACAGTTTGAGGTTCCAGAAGTGGGGAAGGGCCTGTGAGTACCGTAGAGGCATTGTTACAGGCTGTGAGACCTGGCACTCCCTCTCCCCCTGTCCTCTGCAGGCGGGGTGTCCAGGCTGAGCCCATCGGGGTTGGCTACTGTGAGCAGGAGTTTGAGGAGACCTGAACCTGCAGCCCTGGCACCGAAGTGGGTGCTGGCTTCCACTGCGTCTCAGCTGGGTGACGGAACTGTTCACCTGGGAACCCTGTGGCTGGAGAGATGGGGCTGGTGCAGGCACCGGCAGTCAATAAAGAGCAATGTGGCATTTTCCCATAGTGAACGTGGGTTACCTGTGTTGAAGAAAGAAGCAAGGGGCTCAAGGCTATGAGATCTGCCTCTTCTGGTGGAGAGGCTCAGGACGAGTTGCTGAGGGTCTGGAAGTTGAGGGCTAGGAATGAAAGCTGAGCCTCTGTGCTGCTTTCTTGGTGTTTTGAGACAGGGTCTCACTATGTAGTTCAGGCTGGCCTTGAACTCACTATATAGGCCTGGCTGGCTTCAAGTCACAGCGATCTTCCCGCTTCAGCCTCCTGAGTGCTGGGATTGCAGCACTTTGCTCAGCGTCTGTTCTCTGCTAGGTATCCTCAGCCTGGTCACTATGCTGTCACATCCCTCCTTCAACACTTGATGGATGGCGACCTCGGAGGGGCCTAAAGGAATTCCGGGTGGTGGCCCAGGCTGTAACCCCAGCCTGGTCAAAGACCAGCCCCTCTGTGGGGACTCACACCCTTCCTCTAGAACTGCATTCTGTTTCCATTTGCGGCTACTTTCGTTTAAGCATTTCTTTTGGTACCGGGAATTGAACTTGGGGCCTTGCACTTACCGGGCAGGCACTCTTGTGCCACTGAACTATCTCCCCAGCCCATACTTTCATTGTATTCAGTCGCAGCTTCAAAAATTTTTCTCAGCACCTTTTTGGTCCCGTTCATCATGGGGAGGTGGGCTGGGCCCAGGACACATCTCTATTTGGTTTACGTCTCCTTGCCCCTCCCTCTCTGAATCTCTGGTCCCCTTTCCATTTGCAAAGGTGCATCTTCCTGCTTCCAGTTGTCTGTCAGCCACTGTTTAAACATTCCTGAGCATCTCCCAGGGTCCAGGCACCAAGGGAGGTGTTGCCCCTGTCCCACTGTCAGCCCCAAGTGTTCCCAGCCAATTGGCCCAGGGAACACGGTGAAAACTGGGGGCTGGGGATGGGGCAGGCCAGCAGCCTTCTCTCGGGCAAGTTGTCTCACTGTGGTCCCAGACTACCCCCTGCTGGTCTCCTGATCAGGAGTGACAGTGCAAGCCAGAGACTGGGACAGCGGTCTACAGTATCCATTTGGAATGAAGATTTCGTTGCCCATTATATTCTTTTCCCTGGTCTGGGGCTGGGGAGAGCGTGGAGAGGCCCAGGGCCTTTGTCTCAGAAGCTCAGAGAAGGGATCAGAGGGAAAGCTCTTCCTTCAGTGTCATCCCCTGTTCCTCAGTCATAGTCTCTTGGGACCTGCTTAGCGACACACCAGCCCTGTGTCTTGGGCAAGGAGTGACTGGGTCAGCACAGTCGCTCCAGGCCTCGCTCAGGGCTCCACTCCTGTACCCCCAAACAGCCTCCTTACCTCTGCCTCTGTACCCAGAAGCCTGTGGGAGACCCCAGCGAGGACCCCACAGAAATGCTGCTGAGCTTATGCCCTGCTTCCTTGCGATCGGAGCTATTGTTCCTGTGGTTTGGAATGTGGGAAATAAGATGCAAACATGGTCAGGTGTAGGGCCACAGAGGAATAAACATGAAAACACTTCTTTCGTAGCACAAAGGCTCTGTGATTTCTTGCTCTTACCGTAAATGTTTTTCCCAGTGTTATTTTTTTAAAATTTTATTTATTTATGTGGGGGGGCCAGCTCAGCCCACCAGGGGGCAGGGCTGGCTGGCATGTGGTGCTGGAGGATTGAACCAAGGTCCCTGTGCTCCGCCAAGCCTGTTCCAAGTAGGTGCTTTAGACCACTGAGTCATCTCACCAGCCCTCCCAGTATTGTTTTTACCATTACATTGCCAGGCCCAGCTACTCAGAACACTGAGGCAGGAAGATCACACCTTTGACAGTTTTGCCAGAATTTGTCGTAGACAAATCAAAAGGACTGGGGATAGAGAATGCTTCTATAATAGGCAAAAGCCCTGGCTTCCATCCTAAGGGGGAAGAAAGTTAACGTGGCTTGGTCAGGACTATTCGAGGAAAGGGCTGATGTCTCCGACTTCCCCATGGCGTCCCTGGGCCCTGTCGCCTCCCCTCCCTTCCCAGGGCTGTCTTTGCGGCCACACCCTACTCCACACTCCCCGGTGTATGCGATGCCCTCTGTGCACCACTGGGGGGCAGAAAGCACCCAGGCTGGTTTACTGGCTCCAGCCAGCCTAGAAACATCTCGCCCAAACCAGCCCTACGATGCTGTCTCCATTACAGGGGCAGCACAGCTCAGCCGCTACACCTTGGAGGCGGCCTCTGTAGCCCGCGAGAGGCCCAGCTAGGTCCAATCGTCTCTTCACAGTCCCTCACTCTGCTTCTGTGCCACAATTCCAGGAGCCATTGCCACTGAAATCCAGGGAAGGTCTTTCATTAATTTCTTTCTATGACAGTTGGTTGGCCTCAAGCTGTGTGTACTCTAGATCAGTAACTCAGATCTCCGGTGGGTCGGGGCATAGCTCAGCAGCACAGCGCCTGCCTGGCAGCTGTGAGGTTGTGAGTTTGATTCCTGGTACCACAAACCCTGTGATCAACTCACAGCTCTACCTGCACTGCCACCACCTTCATGCCACTTACCCTTACTTAGGAGGTGATCCTAAAGTGTAAAACTGCCTCAAGTTTTCCAGCTGTCTAAATTTTTATTTTAATCTTCCTCCCTCCCTCCTCTCCTCCATCTCCGTGTCTGTCTGTCTGTCTCTCCCCCACACACACAGGGTCTTACTGAGTAGTTCAGGCTGGCCTTGAACCCATGATAGCCCGAGCTGTCCTGAGGCTCATGATGTTCCTCCTGCCTCAGCCTCCTGAATGCTGGGATTACAGGAATGTGCCACCACTGCTGGCTGTATTTTAATTTTTAAAGGCCACCTCATTGCTGTCTGTGTTAGTGTATACCTGCCATCTCAGCATTGAGGTTGAGGCAGAAATGTTGCTGTGAGTTAAGAGCTCAGCCTGCTATACATAGTGAGATGCTGTCTCCAAAAAAAAAAAAAAAACCAAATTCCATTGTTCATTCACTCAGCAGAGTATGCCAGTTTTCCTCTTTAAGACAATTTGGGGGCCATAGAGATGGCTCAGTAGAATAAGCTCTTGCCTGGCAAGCGCAAGGGCCTGAGTTCAAAAACTCAGGTTCTGCTCAAAAAAAGGGAAAAAAGTTCATATTAAATATAGTAAATGAATATTAATGTTTTTTCTAAAGTTTAAGATAATGGGGTCGGGGAGATGGCTCAGTGGAATAAGCACTTCCCTGGCAAGTGCAAGGGCCTGAGTTCAATCCCTGGTTCCACCAAAAAAAAATAAAGTTTAAGATAAGGTTGCATTCTGTAGTTCAGGCTGGTCTTGAACTCACTATGTGGGGGCTGGGGATATAGCTCTGTGGCAAAAGCCTGCCTGGCAAGCAAAAGGTCCTGAGTTTGATTTCCCAGTACCAAAAAAATCCCCACAAGAAACAACAAAAAACCTGTCTCTGTAGCTGAGGCAGGCCTCAAAATCACAGCCAGCAATCCTCCTACCTCAGCTTCCTCCTGAGTGTTGGAACCTGGTCCAAAAATGTTTTAGCTGTAGATTCAGTGTTATTCCTATGAAAATTCAGTGTTTTCTTTTTTTTTTTTTTTTTTTTTTTTTTTTTTTTTTTTTTTTTTAATTTTGGAACTTGAAAATGATCTTAGAAGAAGTGGAAAAGCTGGGCATGGTGTCGCATACCTGTAATCCCAGCACTCAGGAGGCTGAGGCAGGAGGATCATTGTGATTTCAAGAACAGCCTGAACTACAAAGTGAGGTCAAGGCCAGCCTGAACATAGGAGACCCTGTCTCAAAAAGACCAAACAAACACAAATGTAAGAGTTATTTTTTGAGGAAATTTTTTTTTAATTTTAAATTAAAATTAAAATTTTTTTAAAAAACAAGTTTTTTTTTTTTTTTTTTTTTTTTTTTTCAGAACTGGGGATTGAACTCGGGCCCTTGCGCTTGCCAGGGAAGCACTTATTCCACTGAGCCATCTCCCCAGCCCCTCTTTTTTTTTTTTTTTTACAGTTTACACATACTTTATTTACTCAGTTGAGGGCTCTCTGATTGTATGTATAAAATGCTCTGTGTAGTTGATCCCAGCATTCTTCACATTGACTTCAAGAAGTTCTGTTCTGTTTTTTTTCTGTTGAAGTTGCTCAGTTACTTGTTGGTTTATTTTCTTTCAGGATCAAGGTGGGTGCTTTCATAGAGAATCTTATTTTTCATTCCCTTTCCGGCAATTCTTTCCTGGATGCTTTCCTTTGCATAATTATACCTGCAATGGAACCAGCATCCTAAAGTCACCACGATAAATCCTCCTACACCAACATCACATGATCTTCTAACTCCGCTAGTTAACAAAAAGTATCCGAGTCCAGCCATGACAGATCCTAATGAGCCATACAGTACTGAATCCTGTGCACAGGGAATGTTTTCAACATCTAAAATTCCTAGGAGCTTAAAGGGCTTCCCCTTCGTGGGCTCGCCAGGCTCCGGGGCAGCCGCCAGGGCCCGGAGTGCACGGCTCCCCAGGAAAATTGGTAATATGGAATAGAATTTTTTTTTTTTTTTTTTTTGCGGTACTGGGGGTTGAACTCAGGACCTTGAGCTTGTCAGGCAAGCACTTATTCTACTGAGCTATCTCCCCAGCCCTGGAATAGAATTGATACCCAGCCAATGCACACTTCTGATGGATCTCATTGACATTCAGATATATACAGAATTCATACACACACACACTGTTTATGGCCCACATCTACTTCTGGTCATTGCAAACATTCATTGTGTTTAATAAATAAATAAATAGGAGCCGGGGAAATGGCTCAGTGGAATAAGTGCTTCCCTGGCAAGCGCAAGGGCCTAAGTTCAATCCTCAGTTCTGCCAAAAAATAAAAATAAATAAATAAAAATTATGTTGAGTAACAACATGGCAATGCCAACTGTCAAGAGCTACTATAAAACTGTGATTATCACAAGGTGTAGCGGCACCTACCTCTAATCCCAGCACTTAGGAGGCTGAGGCAGAGACACTGTTGTGAGTTCAGGGCTGCTTGGGCTACATA